GATTCCAGAGGGGAACTAGGTCCTGGGAGTGGGGCTAGTATGAAAACCTAGATAGTGCAGATTCAGATCTTAGTGCAAGTCAAATATGTTACACCAGATTTAGGCTGCAGTAAAAGAGATCAGAATTGGGCCTAAAGTCTCCACTAACCAACCAAAGAAGATTCAGATTGAAGATTATCAACAACCCAGGAATAACCAAGGGTGTGGGAATGAGTCAGAAAGTTGTGCCTTTTAAATTGGAGGCCAACCTACTGTATGTGTTATCAGGTGTTAAGAATGTAGAAGACAGTCTATTGTGAACCAAAACCATATCATATTACACATAAACCTACATTACACCAGTGCACCCCTAATCCCAGCACCCCAAGCCCCAGACATTTGTTCAGAGCACACACTGCCAGAAAATGACTTAAGGCATCTATATACCCTCGTTCATGGGCAGTGTGCCTTCAGTTATCAAATCAGACACATGGAGGAGTTATATCACCCAGTAGCCTTTAATGCTGCATCTATTCAAAACTGAACAGAAAAGCATATTCCAAAATCCTTTCATAAATAAATCCTTAGAGTCATCAATCTAGCTGGCAGAACCTACATGCTACACTTAAGTTAATGCAGAAAACAGTAAACAGCTAAATTAGCCCACTATAGTTTGTTAAAATATGCAGTGATTTATGTGTAGACATACTAATGACAATACAGTTAACTATAAAGTATTTTATTGTAAAAACTCCTTTTGCTTCTGGAAAAAATTGGTAAGAAATTAATGCCACTCTTACACTACAATCCACGTGAGCGTCAAGTTAGTGTGAATTGCCCACTCCACTGCAAGCAAATAGTACTTGTCAATATACCATTAAGTCACTGGTAGTAAATGCTAAGAAAATGTAATGTATTCACTAGAATTCTGCAGTGTGCTATGGATACTTTTTCCATCGCTTTGCCAGACACCAATTCTGTTGCTTCAATGTGCACAGGCCTAGTCTACGCTAACATTACGTCAATTTAAATTGCCAGCTGTCGACCTACTTGTGCTTAAATTTATCTCTGGCTAACATAAGTGCCCCATTACAGTGAGCCAGTAAAGCCACCTCCACAAATGGCATGGAGCCATGGTTGACCTATTGAGGTCAATGCAGTGCAAGTGTAAACATGCATGTAGTGCATGACCTGTGTCAAACCTAACAGTCCTCCAGAAGCTGTCCCACAATGCCCCATTCCCTGCAACAATGACTGCTCTGGTCACAATTGCAAACTCCACCGCCCAGGAGTCACAGAAACCAGAAGACAGCCCCACCTTTTAAAGCGCCTTGCATATTTTTGAAATGCCTTTTCTTGATTGCCTGCCTTGGTGAGTACAGCTAGCAGCTCTAACTTGTTGTATGCATCTGCCCAACCAACCATGCTGGCTCCATAGAGTAGACATGAGATATTGGATCTCCTGGGGCCTGTGGGGAGAAGAGGCTGTGCAAGCATAGCTATGGACCAGCTCTAGAAACATGGACATCTGCAAACAGAATGCATGGAGGATGCAGGCAGAGGGGAATAACAAGGATCAGTAGCAATGCCACATGGAAACTAAGGAACTGCGTCAGGTATACCAAAAGGCCAGGGAGTGCAGCAATCAATCTGGTGCTGAGCCACAGATGTGCTACTTTTACAAAGGCCTGCATGCCATACTTGGTGGAGGTCCTACCAGTACCCTTCAGGAAACCTTAGAGAAGCCTGAGACAGAAAGCCCTGCCATGATCAGTGATGAAGAGAAAGAGGAGGGGACAGTTGGGGGGCTTCAGCTGTCCCATGAGCCAGAACCTATTCAAGACTCCACCACAGTCCTGGCAGCTGAGCATGGACAAGCCCAATGAAGGGGAAGGGACCTTGGGTAAGTGTGCGCATACGTTTTTCCTTACAGTGTTTAAATGTAAAGAGGTAGCAGTACAACATGCAGAGGTAGTGTTGGCATCTGCTTTTCATTCCCCTGTTGAGTTAAATGGTGAGGGGAAGACAGGGGAGGCCATGTGGAGCAGTTTGTGTATATATACATAGGGAGATGTCCCTTGTATCCTCCAGCGAGATCTTGAGGAAACTTTAATGGAAATACTCTGCAATAATCTCCAAAGGTTGATAAGGCTGGCTGCATTATTTCTTCCTTCTTGGTAGGACACTTTCCCACAGCACTCTGTGATGAGTTTGGCTGGCACCATTGCAGTAAACAGACTAGAGGAATATGGGCCCAGGTGGTTTCAGAACGCCAGTAGCAGCTGTGCTCTCTGTGCCTTTGTTGCCTTCAGGAATGAGATATCAGCTTAAAACCACCACTGCCTGTGGATAGAATCATAGAAACCATGTTTTCTAGACCTTTAATCATTTTTGTTGCTCTTCTCTGGACTTTATCCAATTTGTCCACATCCTTCCCGAAATGTGGCGCCCAGAACTGGACACAATACTCCAGTTGAGGCCTAATCAGCACAGAGTAGAGTAAAAGAATTGTGCCATTGCCTTATACTCATACCCATGGAATAAGAACTGAACATTTATTGTTTCATGCAACTGAAGTTCCCTCCCCCATACTCATCCCTAGCGGGCAATAGTTATTATGGCTGGGGTTGTGGAGCGGTGCTGTGCAGAGGCGCTCCACAGCCAAAGTGTCAATAAACGTGTCTTATTAAAAGTTTTTATGGGAATAAGGGAAGGGAGTTTTGAAAATTTTCTTTCCCTTTCTGTTATGACTGTAAATCCAATGATACATCTGTCTGTTTTTATCAGCAGCAGTTGCTGCCGTTGCAGCTTTGAGGGATGTCCCCTCCATACCTGCAGTATGGCTAACCCTGATGAGGAGGAGAAAAAACAGGATGAGGGAAAACATGTTCAGCGAGATTGTGCAAACCAATGCTGCGTTGGACCACAAACACCAGGCACGTCAGACAGCATGGAGAAGGAAAGAGGGGACAGGAGACAGGCCCAGGAATCCCATCAGGAAAAGGAGAGGAAGATGCATCAGGACATCATGGGTCTTTTCAGGCAGCAAACCCAAATGATGCTGACCCTGATTGACCTACACGTCCAAAAATCCTGGCCTCCCCACTTTTTGCAGTCCTTGGAGAACTCCACAGTAGCAACTCCCTACACCCCCCCCCCACATTCCATGTGGCATCATAGGCCACCTCCTTACCCCTTACCCCCACCATTCCATATGGGGGGACAGCAAGGAAAACCACAGCTTCACAATTATGTGAGAGCCACAGCTACATGGATTACATTTGTGCAATGAAATGGAAAGAAATTATTGCTGCCTTTCCAATTTCAAAGTCCCATTTCCAGGCCCAAAGAACACTCCATCACAGAACACTACTATAGCTGACTGTTAAAGTGTGGTTTCAAAGCCTCCTTCAGCTGCATAACTGTACATTGGGCTCCTGTAATAGCCTGTGTCTGGCTGTTCAAAGTCAGCAGACAGCTTCTCCACCTCTTCCCAGTCAGCAGCTTTCCCCCCTTTGCCTGAGAGATGTTACGCTGGACACATCAGGCAGTTACAACCATTGGGATATTTTTCTCACTGAGATCCAATCTAGTGAGTAAGTGCTGCCGGCATCCCTTCAATCTACCAAAAGCGCATTCAACAGTCATTCTACACCTGCTGAGTCAGTCGCTGAATCTTTCCTTGATGCTATTGAGGCTTGGGGCTCGTGTATAGCTTCATCAGCAAGGGGTAGACTGGGTCCCTCAGAATCACTATTGGCATTTCAATATCTCCAAAGGTAATCTGCTGGTCAGGAAACAACGTGCCTGTTTGCAGCTTTCTCAACAGTCCTGTGTTCTTGAAGATACGAGCATAATTCACCTTCCTTGACCAGCCCACATCAATATCAGTGAAGTGTCCCCAGTGATCCACCAACGCTTCGATAACTATAGAAAAGTAGCCCTTTCTGTTGAAGAACTCTATGGCAAGGTGAGCTGGTGCCAAAAAAGCAATGTGCATGCCATCTATTGCCCTCAGTCCAATTCAGGAACTTCACTGCTATAAAACCATTCACTATGTCCTGAATATTGCAAATAATCACAGTCCTGCATACCAGGAGACACATAATGGCCCTACACACTTGCATGACGACAGCCCCCACTGTGGATTTTCCAACTCTAAAATTATTTCCCACTGACTGGTAGCAATCCAGTGTTCCAGGCTCCCAGAGCGTGATCACAATTCACTTTTCCACTGTCAGAGCAACTCTCATTCTGGTGTCCCTGCGCTAGAGGGTTGAGGTAAGCTCAGAACACAGATCCAGGAATGTGGCCTTTCACATCAGAAAATGCTGCAGCCATTGCTCATTGTCCCGAGCCTGCATTATGATACGATCCCACCAGTCAGTGCTCAATTCATGGACCCAAAAGCAGTACTCCACTGTCTGCAGCTGCTCCACGAACACCATCAACAACCTTGAATTATTTTCTGATATGTTCCTCTGCAAAATGTCCAAGAAGAAATTGTCATGTCCCCTGTGTTCTTGCGGTACTTCCTGAGTGTCTGAAAATACAGGAGAATCGTATGTCCTGTATTTGCAACATTCATGAGAATAGTGCAGAGCACTGTGGGCTCCATGCTTCTGTCTGAGATGGTGGACACCAAAATGTGCTGCACAGGTTTGTGGGATTTAAAAAAAAAAGGCACAAAAATTATGGGATGGAGTAAGTTGCATTCTGGGAACCTGACCCCTAGCTCCCAGAGATTCCTTGGCAAGTCATTTCTATCCCACAACACATTGCGAAAAGTTCCCAAAAGATATCGTGTCAAACAACAGCGTGAGGCACACTGAGATACCTACCCGTGGTGCACCGTACTTTACATCAACACAATTACACCTAAGAATATGCGCAGTGCTGACGCAAGAGGCCAAGTATGCATGCACATGAGCAATGCACAAACTTTGGTGGCTACACAGCAATGTAACTTGCATCAACCAAAGTTTGTAGTATAGACATGGTCACATAATCCTTACATTTACCTCTAGTTTGGCATCCAGCTCTGCATCAGATGCAACCACATGCTCGTCTTCTTTCTTTCCTGTAACTTTGATTAGGACTTGCTTTGTCTTCCAGTATTTCTTCTGCATTCTGCTGACTACAGACTGGTCTTCTGACCTATATTTTCCATTGGTATCCTTGGAGTGACTATGAGAAAGAGATAAGTAAACAGATCAAAGAATTGTTTCAACAATTTACTATGTATACAACAAAGCAAGAAATTAATAAAATATTACCAATGCAAAACAATTTTTAGCCAATCAGTGCTGATATAGTACTTTCTGAATGCTCTTTGAAATCTATTTGTGCATTATGTTTAGTTGGTATGAAAGCCCCATAGTCCATCATAATGATGTCTGAATTGGTACTTACATATTTTTAATTATTAGGACTATTTACTGCAGCGTAGCTGGAAAGTGATTAGTACAATTAGAGCTATATGGAAAAAGGAATTTTGATATTTCAATATTTATTTTCATCCCAAACTGGGATGGGAACTCAAATTTTCACAAAACAAAAAGGTCTGAAAAATTAACATCTTGACAATGTTATTTTGCAAAAATTATTTTAAGAATTTTATTTTATTTTTAAGAAATAATTATTTTAATTTAAAAATATTGTCAAAATATCAATTTGAAATAATACTCTTTACTTTGAAATAGACAGTTAAAAATTATTTTCCTTTTGGAGCTGACATTTCACTTTTCTCAAAAGAAAATGTTTTGACAAACCCATATTTTTCCAATGGGAGAAAAAGGTTCATTAAAAAAAATGCAACCAGCTGTATATACGATGTTGCAGGTATCTGTAAACTTCCAATTTTCTACCCCACACATAGCTACTTCACCGAACATGATGCTTCTGCTTATGGCCACTGACTAAACAAAGCTCAGAATTCCTAGCTACTTTAAAATGTGTAGAATATAGGCACTGGAAAAACTAAATGAGGGAACTTTTTGGCTCAACAGCTCAGATAACTGATTTTCATTCAATAGAAATGATATCAGTGTTTTGTCTATATAGCTGTTAGATATATTGAATGTTAGCATGCTTTCAAAGGTTTAAAGGTAATTTCCAACCGACTCAACAAAAACCACATCTGTTCATGAAATATATACTGAATGCCACAGGCGCCGACTTTGTGATTTCCCGAGGGATGCTGGACCCCCGCTCTGCCCCAGGCCCTACCCCCACTCCGCCCCTTCCCCTCGCTTCTTCCTGCCCCTGCTTCCCTTCTTCCTCCCAGAGCCTCCTGCACACCGCTGAACAGCTGATCGCAGTGGATGGGAGGCGTTGAGAGGAGCTGATTCGCGGGGCTGCCGGTTCCGTGGGTGCTCCAGTCCCGGAGCATCCACAGAGTCAGCATTTATCATGACTGCCCCAAATAACAAAGTCAAAGGGACATAACTTGCCTCAAAAATTGTATCTTTCAGTTTCTCCAAAGTCACACCAGTTCAGATCTTGTGTGAAGACCTGACAAGTATTGGTTGACTTTCACTAGAGAGTCCATTGGAAGACATTTCACAGGTTTGCAACATTTACATGTTTTAATTTTGTATAAAAATAATCTAATTGCCAAACTGACAATACACACAAAAAGAACAAAGCTAAATAAAATTTGTCATAGTTTATGATTTCTTCAGCATTCTTTAGTATAACTCACTTAATTGGGACAATCTGATGGATTCCAATTCATTCTGATTAAGCATCTGTCTCATTTAAACAAAGTTCATCTAACTTTACAATGTTGTAACTGCATACGGCTGCACCTCTCTTTGTAATTCACAGGACAATTAACGCTTGTCTTCACTTCTGAGTTAGAGAAGTTAGAATTATACCTAGATTGGTGCCCCAATTCAAGTCCCATCCACACACAGAAAACCCTTGAGTGTGGGGGTGCTTGTAACTGGAGTTGCCTGGCCTGTTGGGTTACAGGCTACAGCTGCAGTTAGTACAACTTGTCAGCTACTAACATGACCACTCTACAGCTCAAATGTTATTTCAGAGTGTGGCCACTCTCACTCCATGTAGGCTAATTTAAGAAAAGTTAACTTGAGGCTAAATAACCTGATTAACTCTACAGTGAAGACACATCCTTAGACCAAAATAATCCCAGCTAGGCAACTGGAGCAATTTTGATCATCCTATTAAAACAACAGACAACTCATTCTGTCTTATTAGGGATAGGGGAAAGAAATCTGACTGGTTAATTTCTGTTCTTCAAAAGGGGGTGTGCGTCACATAGGCACTGACTCTGTGGGTGCTTCAGGGCTGGAGCACCCAGGGGAAAAAAAATGAGCACCCACCAGCAGCACCCCAATCAGCTCTGCCCCTCCCCCCAGCACCTCCCACCTGCTGGCAGCCCCACCAATCAGTGCCTCCCCCTCCCTTCTGCCGCGATCAGTTGTTCCGCAGTGTGCATGAAGCGGGGGGGGGGGGGGGGGGGAGGATGATGGCGGGGCATGCTCAGGGGAGGGGGCAGAGCGGGGGTCAGGAAGAGGGAGGGCGGGAACAGAAATGAAATAGTGAGCACCAAATTTTTACTCTTTGTCAAACATTTCCACCTCTTGACTTGTTTAAATATTTATTTGACATAGCCCCTATTATCTTAAACCACATCTAGAACATGCCAGGATAGATAGGGAACACTAGCAAGAGTGGGACTAAAAACAAAAAAGCTATAATAGGATTATTAAACTTGCATAGAATAGTCCCAGATATCTTACAACTATTTAGATACGTGGACAGTTCATTGTACTGTTTGGAACTGGTAACAACAACAAATGCTAAACATGTCTATATAATAAAGAAGATATTGTAATTTTTAATGAAGAAATTAAAGCCTGTGGACATGCACATATGTTAGGTGGCTCTAGAGGATCAGGGCTAACCATCTGTCATTGCCATATCATTTTTCAGTATATTGATCTTAAATAAAGAAGAGAAAGTCTAAACAGCTTCACAACTTTAAGATCCTGTCAGATATTGTATTAGAAGAAACAGGTATTTGAAACCTTGCAATTCTAGAAGCCTTGTAAAATGATGCCAGACACAACATCTCCATTTGATACATGCAAGCTTGATTTAGAAACTGTATCAGATGTGATTTGCATTGCAGATCAGCACTACTGGATACTATGGCTCTTGAGGCCTGATCCTGCAGGTTATTAGATGTAACTGATTTGGAACGGCTCTGTAATTTATGAATACTGCATGTTGACCTGGTTATTGGGATGTTTAATGTATAAGTATATTGATTTAGTTTTAATAGGACGAGAAAAACAAGAAGGATAGGAAAGAATGGCTCAAAATAAGTCACTTCTCAGCAAACATTTGAGAGTTAAGCGACAATGCCCAGAAAGGAAAAGCCTGAGAACACAGGAGATCAAAAGAGATGTGGCAAGTTTAACTAGGACTGCTCTTTCAAAAGAAGGGGGAGAGAGTTGTTTGGGGGAGCCACACTGAGACACAGGGACCTACTGAGTGTGTTGGAAGAAGTTAGGTCTGCCTAGTTTACAACCAGGTGACGATCAGACTTTAGGTAAGAGAGCAACGTGTAGACTGTTTTAAATTTCTTTTTCTCTAAATGCATTGTTCCTACTGTTAAAAGTAAACAATACTTATGTTTTAAGATGACAGTTTTATCACAGTATGCCATTGGTCAGAGACTCCCAGAGAAGAGCTGCAGGTGTTTGAACTCAGTTGGTCCTGCAGAGTAAGAACAGTTGGTACACAGGGTATTGTAGCCAATAACTTGGTCTATTTATGAGAGATTTGTCGAATTCCATCCCAGAGTTGAACAGATACTTGAGGGCATACACTTAAAGAGACCAGAAAGGGGATAGAGTGCCCAGTAACCATGATACTGAGCATCTCTCTGTTTCTCAAATGAAGTTCATGAAGACCTAACTGGGGCTATTTCTACCAAAAAGTAACTGTCACTTTTATTAAAGACCCTATCCTGCAAACTTGCAGTTTCCTATCAGCTTCAGCAAGACTCCACATGGGCAGAGGGGTCGATCTGCACAGATCAGCTTGCAGGATTAGTGCTTGAAGCCCCAATCCTGCAAACAGTTATGTATATGCTTAACATTGCATAACTTTCAATGGAACCATTCATGTGTTTGTATGTTTGCAGGACTGGGATCTAACTATGGTAAACAGTGTATGCAGCCATATAGAATAGATGAATTCCTAGGAGGCAAACATGGGGGGTGGGGGGGGGGGTGAAAATCTCCTTCAAGAACATAAATGCAGAATGTTAAAATAAACATTTAGGTTGACAAAAGTAAATAAAAGGGGAATATCAAAGCTAAGGCTGACACACTAGAACAGACTTGTGCCCGTGGAACCCAGGCTGCAAGTACTGATGGTGTAAGTCTACCTGGAGTGTTGCTTCCTGCAATAGGTGTTGACCCTGTCCACATCAGCAAGGCAAATTACTTCAATACCAGTTGAGAAGGGATCCAGGGGATTAGTTCTTTTATACAGTGTGGACTCAACCTAGGAGAACTTTCATATGGAAGACTGGTTAAACAAGAGAAAGGTGGCTGGGTACTGAAGGAGAGGAACATCAGATAAGATGGGAAAGAGAGTATTTGTGCCCTAGCCAAAACTGGCTTTTACATTTTTTTCAAGAAGCAATCTTGAAAACCATTACAGGAAATAATTTTGTAGCCTCTATTAGTCTAAGGTGATGGGAGAAACACCTTTTAAAAAAAATATAATTTTCAAGCCTATGTTACTGCTTTGGCTAAAAAACAGTGTGAAGCTTTCCTCTTTTTCACATGGCTGTGCTACCTGAAACACTTTTCAGGTCACTTCTTGTAAACCACTTCAGGGTCAGGGAACACTCATGTTGTGGAGGAGTCACCAAGAAAACAAATTCAATGCATAGGACAGGAGATAGAGGGACAGTAGGAAAAGAAATTACTCAAATGAAACATTTTTTAAAAGATTATTTTGTTTCTTTTAACATTATAAACCATGTGCAGTCTTTTTACAGCCTTTTTTCCCCAGGAAGGATAATGCTAAATTTTTTCAATAGGCTCTCTTTTTTCAGCAATATTTTTCTTCTGGGTATTATATGTTGCTATAAAGTAACACACTCCTGACTCACCTAGGATGGCTATCCATTCTGCTGTGGCTCTTGTTACACCTATGGAAATAGACCAAAAAATTTTCTCTTCTTTCCACTTCCACCACGTCATTCGAGAAAAAGCACATTTAGTACAGAGAAGGAACAGCAACTGAAAGCTGAATCATAAAAGAGCAATAAAAAGAAATTTCTTATATGTTGGGCAGGATACCATGGTCAGGGGCAAGGTTACAGGAGGGAGAAGGGGACTTGACCTAACACATATTTCAAAAGAGAGAGACGAAAAAATCTCACACTTATCTAAAGTTGCTGAGAACTTACAGAAATCAAGCTTCAGGGCTGTGGGAGTAAGAAATTAAAACTAGAGTTGGTTGGGAATTTTTCTATTAATTGTTTTTTGTTGGAAAATGACAATTCATCAAAACCAAAACTGTTCATAGGAAAATGTCAGTTTCAGTGAATTTCCCAGGTCGAAATAAATTTCAAATTATTGAAATGGGATGTTTCAACATTTTCTAAACCAAAAAGTTCTTTTTTTAAACTACTTTGTTTCAAAATGTAAGTTAATTTATAGGGGGAAAAAAGGTGGAATAAAAGGTCAGAATGAAACATTTCAATTGATCCAATCTGGATTATTGGTTCACAACTATTTGAGATTTTAACTGTGTCCCCATTTGGGATGGAAAAATTTCTGAAATCTCATATTCTTCTGGGTTGGGAAACTAGTTTCCTACCTAGTTGTGGTGAAAATAAAACCTCCTTTTTCAATCCCCAGAATAGCACTGGGCATTAATAGGGTGACCAGGTGTCCGGTTTTCGACCGGAACACCTGGGCAAAAAGAGATCCTGGCGGCTCCAGTCACCACCGCTGACCGGGCCATTGACTGTCTGGTTGGTGGCGCTGTGCAGCGGGGCTGGCAGGCTCCCTGCTAGCCTCCGCGCCACGCGGTTCCCAGGAAGCAGCCGCCATGTCCCCCTCTGGCTCCTATGTGTAGGGGCAGCCAGGGGGTGCTGCACGCATATGTGGAAATAGCCCTCTTATTTCCTACTAAGATGTTACTCTGACCAAACATCAACTGCTCCTGTTTTTTCATTTGTTGTCTCCTGTACTCAGCTGATGCTTAGGTCAAGTTGTTCCTCCCTCTCAGTTGAGGGGGAGGGTCTTTAGTTTTGGGTGGGTATAAGCTTCAAATAGTACAAATCAGTCTGGGTCCTAGGACACTAGGGGTGTGGGTTAGAGCCCAAGTCCCACTGTGATTCGGGTCCAAGCCCTGCCATTTTGCAGGGTGAATGTAGGTCAAGCCGCAGACCTGAGCCAGAAGGTCTGAGTAGTGCAGTATGGACATGTTAACATGGCTGTGAGACCTGGGTCCAACAATTGTAAACCTGGGTTTACAATGCAGTGTGGTGCTCAATGCTCAAGCTGGCTAGGAAACATCAAGTCCACAAGCCTGTATCTTGCAGACCTGGGCTTAGCCTTAGAAATCCAAATCTGAGACCAGTCTAAAAGCCTATTGGGGCACGTAAGCCTCTGAGCTGAGCTAATTAGGTTGTAAAGTCTGGAGGAGAGGGACAGGGTATGTCGACGCTGAATGTAAGCCTAGGGTTAGTAGAACTTGAGTTAGCAGTCCTGAGTTTGTTAACGTAGGGCTTGAGCGTTGACACTCATTTGTAGCCCACCTTAGGAATTGTTGAATCCTGTGTCCCAACGTGGGGTTCCAGTGTCTACACTGTATTATGCGAGCCTGAGTCCAGCCACCCATACCCTCGACTTTTTAATGTACTCCCAAAATGTGGCTGCTTTGCCTCGGATTAGCGTGATTTGTGTGTAGACGCGTGGCGTGGGGGGGAGGCTAGGCTTGAGTCTGAGTTCAAACCTTGGGTTTATACTGCAGTGTAGACATACCCACAGTGTCTTCATACCTGTTAGTACAGACCCCAGCACACTGGGTCTCCAGTTTGATTGGGATCTGTAGATGCTGTAGAAATGTGATAGTTGATATCTGATCAGTAGTTTGAAGACATATGTTAAATGTTGTTCAAATGAGAGGGATGCCAAGTAGCATCCCCATGAGCCAATGGAAATGAAATCCCATTTTAAGCCCGGCACTAAGGGCCCCCATGGAAATTTGGGGTGGAAGGGCCCTGGTAGCCAGGAGAAGAAGAAAAAGGTTGCTGAGAACAGTGAGAGGCATGCGTGGCAGTAACTGGCAGTGATGAGGTGCTATGTGTTGGGGGAGCAGTAACTGGCAGTGATGCGGTGCTATGTGTTGAGGTGCCAGAATGCGGGGGGCATGAACTGGCATTGAGGGGGAATGCTGTGGGGGCACTAAGATTTTGGGAGGGTGCAGTAAGTGTCATTGAGGGAGATGGGGGAAGCAGTAACTGGCATTCACGGGCAGGCTGTGGGTGGGGGAGGCGGTAACGGGCGGGGGGGCACGTGTTCTGAGTGTGTGGTGGGTAACGGGCAGTGAGAGGGGGCGCG